TCTATTTTCATGGCTGGTATTCAAGTCAGTGAATTTCTATTTTTAAAAGACATTCAGCACTGCATTATCTTAGGTAAGGTTGATGGTGGAAGAGAACTGTTTGATGGACATGGGCCTTTCTTATAAATAGCTGTTTTCGGAAATTTGATTTACAAAAGACTAGTGTTTTCTATCAGTAGTTTACCATTGCCCGAGGAAACACATTTGTAGTGTTAAAACATAATTGTAATTGTGTAGCAATTTTTAACATGTTTTAATATCTTAAAATAAATAATATTTAGCTCTACTTTGTATTGAACCCTCTTTTAAATTAAATGTTACGGACAGTGTAATTATACTCTACTTGTTCTCATTTAACCTGGATATATATATATATATATATATATATATATATATATATATATTTGGTTGATTGATGTGAGTTTGTGACCCTAGGTTTCACGCTTTTGCGATCGTCAGACAAATAATAATAAGTACCCGCATATAATATATAAATAATTAATATATATATATATATATATATATATATATATATATACTTATATTTATATACACATTTTCATACAGACACACACACACACACACACACACACACACACACACACACACACACACACACATATATATATATATATATATATATATATATATATATATATATATATATATATATATATATGTTCTGCCATCTTTGGATCCTCTTTTTCATTTTTATTTATGTCAGTACAGTTTTCTTCTACGTTGCCCTTAATAAAATCCTTCAACTAAAATATTTCTTCTTCTCCCATTTTTCTTGTTCTTCCTATCACACCATATTTTCTTTTTGTCAGTTTTTTGTTGATATTTTGTTGATTTATTAAATCAACAAAAATACCAACAATAGGCTATTTTAAAAATAATATTTTCAAAATTGTTTCTCTTTCAAGAATTTTTATCTTTTTATTAGTTACATTTTCTCACTTTTTATTTTGTCCTTCCTTCCAGACAGTTATAACTTGATGAACGAGGATGACATTGACCACCAAAATTTCATGAATCATAAACCAAGAATAAACAAAAATCGAGAGCAGAAAGAAGCAAGCAGTATCACCTAAAAGCGACATTTTTCATTTTATGAAACAAAGAAAAACACAAAACTGTAGAATCTTCAAAACTCCTTATCAAGTTTTGAAATCTCGCATTTGGGTAGAAAGAGCCAAATTGCCCCAGATGTCGTTTTCTACGGTGTTTTTTGTCGGTTTTCACGTCGAAGGTTTCAAAGTGCAAATCTTTTGGCGTCATTATTGTAGGGATGCAACTGCATGTCGAACAAACATGCCACAACGTTTTATCTATTAAGATGTATTGATCTAAAGGTGTCTCTGCCTTCTTTGTGCTGCCATCATATATAACAGGCACGCATTCTGTACACACACACACACATACACACACACACACACACACACACACACACACACACACACACATATATATATATATATATATATATATATATATATATATATATATGATAGAAATTAGGAGGATTTGAGATAATTATAATTAATCTATAAGAAATCTCAACAAAATGCACTGGACGGCCCTTTCGTTCTATATTTGAGACTCATCAGCAGTGCGCATCCACTACCGAGTCTGATTTGCTACCTCTTTGTCACCGAGGCCTGTTGGAACAGTTGGCATGACGTTTGCCTGATAACGTAACTGTCCGAGTTTCAATTCTTGGTAGTGGATGCACACTACTGATGAGTCCCAAATATAGGACGAAACGGGCGTTCAGTGCTTTCTGCATTCTGTTGAGGTTTCTTCTAGACACGATGAATTACCTAATTATATATATATATATATATATATGTGTGTGTGTGTGTGTGTGTGTGTATGTGCATAAAAATATACGTATCTACGATAAGCAACTCAAATGTTTGGCGAATATGATCATAGAAAAATTATTTTCCAACTTCTCCTTCAAAATAGACCGTTGCTTACTGTTTGCGAACAATTATTACTCATCAAAAGTATCGGCAAAATTCAGTACATTTGGTTCACGTATCTTGTTTAAATAATCCGAACTTGTATTGTGTAGAATCTTGTATGAGATGTGTGCTAAGTATTTGTACAAAGTGCATACTAATGCTTTCAATAAAATTATTTTAGCCATGTTAGGGATATAGCAAAATTGTCGTATAGACCTGTTTGAAGAAAGAGAAAAGGAAAGCTTTCTTTAACAAGACGTTTCGTCACCTGATTGATTTTATCAAGGTAAATGTAAGGATTTTATTTTGCAACATGTAATTATGAACAGAAGTAAAAAATATCGTTAGTTTTTCAACTTTTTTTAAAATTTAAAATGCTCAAGAATGTTTTTAACGATAACTGTCTAAGTAAATGGAAAACTATGGGAAATGATGTGATGTAATTTAATGCCTAATAAGTGAAAGTGAGTAAATGTTAATGTTATTGTTATCTTTTCTTATTTGTTTGTAACTCTCTCTCTCTCTCTCTCTCTCTCTCTCTATATATATATATATATATATATATATATATATATATGTGTGTGTGTGTGTGTGTAATGTAATTATTATTTGTTATTTCATTTTAATTTGATAATCCCTACATCTCATTTGATTAGAAAAGGAACATCTGTGTTTGCTCAGTGGTCCCAACAGTTAGAATCACCAAAAAGCCTGTCGAGAAATGAATCGAATCAAAACTAAAAATATTCTTTGATGATGAATTAACCAATTTAGCTGAAATGTGGAGAAAGGAAAAAAATCGGCTAAAAAACTCATAGCTTGAGAAAGACGAATTTTGTATAAATTGTGGCCATAGACGGGCGAGATAAATGACTTAGCTGTTCCTTATAACATCTGCATCAATATCGTGTCATATTGCGTTATAGTTCGATGACATAATGTGGTATACGAGTTGGTGATAACATGAACTTGTATAGATATATAAGAATTCCTTAATACTACTGGAAACTTTTTCATACACGATATTTACGAGGAGAAGGTGCAATTTTGAGAAGGTGATATAGCAGATGAATTTAGATGCTAAGCAAAAAGTAAAAATATCAACTGGCTGACATTTCATTCAGACCATATCATACTAAATAGTGTTAAATAAGCTTATGTTTTCGATTCAACAAACAACAGAGGCTTAGAATCTGTAGCCTTTAATTCCTCCTCGAAGAAGAGAAATACACTGAAAACTTCTTCAAACTCCTCCAATACCCTAATTATTTCCTGAATAATGTAAAACGCAAGCGTATAAAATCCACAGAAGTAAAATACAAAAATCCACAAATAATGACAATAATCGATAACAAAATCAAACACATAATCCTACTTCCCAACTCACCAGTCACCATCGAAAATATCTTGTCCAACCTTGACATAAAATTCATCAACAGCACTTCTAAAACAAACAAAAAAAAAGATATAGTTAAAATCAAACAAGATAGCAACAACAACTGATCAGAGGCAGGACTATAAAAATAGACCTTTGTTTTTTGATGTAAATTAGTGAAACATCCAGAAAATGCCAGTATGACCAGGAAAGGATGAAATATACTAAGAAGAAAATGCATTTCGCATTAATAAACAGTAAACCAGGGCCATATGTTATTTCAACGATCATCGCAAAGACAGTAATAGCACAATGCGGTATACAAGCTGGTGGAGAGGACAGGGAGTCGGCTGATCTAAAAATCCATAGACCCCCAAAGAGATTTAACATGTATATATATGTATATGATTGTTTGTGTATGTATATATGTGTGTATATGCGTATGTGTACATATGTATGGCTATGTGTGTATGTGTGGGCATATATGTATATGAAAGCAAACGAATCAGGCTTCCTAATGCCTCCAATGCGACCCATAATATCAGCGCACCCCATATATATATATATATATATATATATATATATATATATATATTATGGTTACAAATGAAAAAAATGGCTCTAACATATATATATATATATATATATATATATATATATATATATATATATATATATTAAAAATTAGGAGATCAGCTGACTCCGTTACCTTGGTTTCACCCTTAAGGTATGCTCCATTAAAATCTCTACATGTCAAAAGTTAAAGACTGACATGTGTTGAGCACTTTTTAAAACTACTGCTTCGTGGTCCAATTTAACCGTCTGATTATTAAAAAAATCTTGTCAGAAAAATATGCACCCTCTGGCAGAATTTGAACCTGCATCCCCTATGGATTACAGTAATGTGTTCTTAGCTTAATTACTTCGTGAAATAAGTTGACAGGTGGGCATATTGGTGAAAACCTGTAGACTCAACCATGCTTTAAAATCTTTCTCATCCACATCCACGTGTGAACACACAAAGGCATACACAACAACACCTACACTTAGAAAAAACATGTTCAAATCCATTTAAGTGCACACGCATATATGTATAAACACATATGCGTAATCATTCACACACTCAACTTATCATATGTGCGTCCTGTCACGCAAACATTTATGATCAAAGCAAAAGATTAAAAAAAGCAAAACTTTTGCAACTGTTGAACGAAAAAAGGCAGTTTTTTTTAATTCTAGGCCTTCACAATAAGCGATATTTTAAAAAAAAATATATCGGCGCACGTAATATATTCATTAAAATATCTTTGAAAATTTCTTTTCCCAAACGCTAACTTCTTTGATAGATAAGTATGAAAGATACGAGTTTGCATTCGTCCCTTTCTTGCTCATGACCAGCCGATTCGTTGAGCAGTACTGATCAATGTAAATATTTCGATCACCAACGCATATTTTCCTTCTGTTTTTGCTTTGAATACATTGTTCATTCAAGTGTCCTTCTTTTCAAGTCTTTTCTTTACTCGGCTCTTTGAACTTTTAGGTAAATATATACAATTAGTTATTCAGAATGGGAGGTTGCATCTTCTTACGCCTAATTTAAAAAAAAATGTTTAATCATATTAAATTTCTTTTTGCTTTCATTTTTTTTAAAAACCATGCTCATAATGAAACGCTGTGAAATGAATGAATATATCAATTAATAAATCAACTAAAACTTTTTTAAAAACATTAATTTTGCTTTATCAAAGAAACTGAACCGAACGCCCAGAATTTATCGGGCAAAATCAAATTTCTGCCTTTTAAAATTTGTCCATTTTTTCTGATATTTATTTTAATAATTCTGTTGTTGGAATTGAATATCTTGCACGTTAATCTGATAATCAAAGTAGATTACCTTAGCAATACCAGTCATTTATTCACGCCGTCATTTTTTTTATTATCTTATATTTCTCATTTTTCTTTTGCACTTCTCAAATTTCTTTCAAAAAAAAAAAGAATAAAAAAAGGAGAAAAGTTTTTGTCAATGCTTCTTGAACTTGTTAATTCTTTTTACTTTCTCTTACTATTAATTTTATTTTATTTTTTGTTTTATTTTTCTTCTTTTTTCTTTATTTTGTTAAGCTATTATATTTCTCCCTCTTTTTTTCCTTTTCTTTCTTTCTACATTTTTCGACTTTTGTCATTCTCTTTCTGTCTGTCTATCTCTCTTCTTTCTTTCTTTTTCTTTCTTTCTTTCTTTACATTTACTAAGCTTAAATTCATATAACACCAGACGCAGTAAAGGAGTATGAAATCAGGATATAATTTTTGATGGATCACTCTGTTGTGTAAATTAACTTTCGAAATCTTAGCTTTTATCGGGACTCGAACATTGACCAGAAAAATAAGAGACTTAAATTGGTTTCTTTCTTTCTTTCTTTCTTTCTTTCTTTCTTTCTTTCATTTTTTCTTTCTTTCTTTCATTTTTTCTTTCTTTCTTTCTTTCTTTCTTTCATTTTTTCTTTCTTTCTTTCTTTCTTTCTTTCTTTCTTTCTTTCTTTCTTTCTTAATCATTTAAATATATGCTTATTTGTTTGTCTGTTTCTTTCTTCCTTTCTTTTCCCTGATTTCTTAAAACACAATTCTCTATTGTCTTTCATTTTCATTTCTTTCTTTTGCTGCAGATATATTATTTCGGCTTTTTCTACTAATCATCTCCTTCCACATCTTTTAAAAAAATGCTTCCCCTTTCTTTACCATCCACAACTCCATTTTTATTAGCCTTCCGGTTTTACACCTCGCATTTCATGTTTTTTTTGTTTTTTTTTTAAATTTTCTTGAGAAAATTTAACTTCCTTTTTTATTTTGGGTGCTTGTAGTGGGAAAAAGCATTTGATAAGTCAGGAGGCAGTTAGCAAACAATAATGACACCCACTTGAACTTCACCCGGGAAAAAATAAAGTGAATTTTTACCGCGTTCCCCTGCTACTGATTGAGAATCTTGGGCAAAAGCAGAAAGGCGTGAAGTCATTCAAAAACTCGAGTCTTGCTTGCTTCCTCTTTTAAAAAGCCTCACCAATCAATTAATTTTCAATAGATATTTTAAATCGATATTCAATAATTCTGCAAAATTGAATGAAAAAAATCTTCTTACAATGGCAAGTCAAACAGGTACGGAATAATTGATGAGGAAATTGAGCCACGTATAATGCATAAAAATGATGGCCTTGTGGCATACTTTGGTAATTAAGGAAGGAAACATAAAATATTCAAAATTAAAAAAAATAGTACAGTTTTCAAAAGCAAAACTTTTATTTACGAAATGAGAAAAAAAAAATCTTTATTAGTAATAACATGATGCCTAAAGTTTTCGCCAAGGAAATTCCCTGGTTAAGCAATTCCATTGTCTGAAATTCAGGAAAAGTTGGCATTTTGATAATATACGGTAATAAGCTTCCTTACCTGGGATATTACAGTGAGGATCGAACCCAACTACATTAATAAATGTGTCCAAGTCTTGCTAACTACATATTACTTTATGGCAAAGTGAAGAAATATTTACATATTTAGTTTTAAATAGTGAGAGAGAACAGTGCATTAGTAAAGATCTCTAAAATAGCTTTATTTTGATCACATTTTGTATTTTATTTCATTATATGTAAGAGAAACAAAAAAGAAGAAAAGACCAACTTGAATAACCATTAATCATACACATGTGATATACCGCAAGAATTGTGTGCATCACACTTGGTTTGTTCGTTTCATTGTCTTTCCAAAATAATTATGATAAATTTTCCGACAAAATTGGCTAATATTTCATAATGACCGGTCACGTTTTCGCTGTCAAAATTATTAACATTAAGCCACAGTGCCTATGTAGTACCTTGTGATTATAGCAGAGAGTGTTGCTTTGTAGCGTGGAAATGCCATATAAAAATACAAGGTCGTCATAAATTTCTTATTGTATTCACAACATTCCTGTCAATATTCATGAGCCAAGTAATGAGACTTTAATTCATTGATAAGAAATGTAAATAGGCTGACCAGATGACAATATTAAAACACTGAGAAGTTAAAGTGAAATTTCCCTGGAAAGTATAGATAACGTTAAACATTATATATATATTTTAAGAATATTTTCTATATATTTACACACACACACACACACACACATATATGTATGTATATATATATATATGTATATAAATAAAAGAAAGAACAGTAAGATATAAAATCCGGTGTTCTTATAGATATTTTTATTTTTACAAAATAGTGCTCAATGTAAATTTACAGAGCATTAATATTATAATATTATTAATATTATACCGTTAACAATTTAAAAAAAAAAAAAAAATTCAGACGACATCCATTCAACTGATGTCAGGTTTCATTGTAAAAATACATCCCTACCCCCTTACCAAATTGTAGCTAATAACTGATACAATGATACTGACATAAGGAAAATCTAGACATCCTTGTTCAATTTAAGTAGAATATTCTGTAACCATGGAAAGGTGATTTTAGCTGTGTCTTTAAAACCCGGTAATTTTTAAAAGTTACTCCAAAATTCGCTTGAAGATGAAATGGAACTAATGCTTTTAATTTAATTGCAAAATTAAATTCAGGGTTTTAGCTTCTATTTTTTTTTGAAACATGGTTGGAACTGTGTAGCGAAAAAAACATATTTTAAATCAATTAATTTATAATATATATATATATATATATATATATATATATATATATATATATATATATATATATATATGATGGTCGTTCCGTCGTTTTTGACGTATGAGTGTCTTTCAATTCAGTTTTTTATGCTTATGTTTCGTATGAGTCACCAATCCTGCACGAGATTAGCAAACAGATTTAGTGTTAATCCTTAATTCTCTCAGATGGTTGAGACGATTCTTTTCAAAGTTAGTTATACATCGGTAGCAGGTTTTTCTCCAGTTTGTTCGGTTTTCAACAGCAAGTTCGAGTTCCTCTATAGGGATGTTTGCAGTAATTAAATTGCAATTAATTATGTCCTTGAAACATAACCAAGGACGGCCTACGTTACGCTTACCATGAAAAAGTTGATTATACATGAGGATTTTCGGATTCAGATCATCATTCATTCTGATGACATGACCAGCCTATCTGAACTGTGATTGCATTAGAAATTATGCAATCACACACACACACACACACACACACACACACACACACACACACACACATATATATATATATATATATATATATATATGAAGATATATAGTCTTAATGTGTGCTATATTTGTGGGATAAAGTGTTCAATATCAGAGACAGAGTGTGTGTAAATATAAAAGTGAACATTGAAGTCAACACTTAGAGGCGACTCTCTTTTTCATACTAGACGCAATCGTCGGGCCACGCGGGCTGTTATTTTTCAAGGCTATTTATATATACGGGTCAGTGGTGCATTGTGGGTAGTCTAATTTGGCGGTTATTTTACCGGATGTCGTTTATTTGTTTATTTATTTATTTGGGTTAAATTATTTTGTTTGTCATTATTTATTTTTATTTTTTATTTTTATTTCTTATCTTATTTATTTTTTTATTTTTATTTTAATCGGTATTTTTATTAACGTAGTAAAAATTTGTTTATATCGCTTATTTAATAGTTTTGTTTTGGTTTGGGTAGATAATTAAAGCTATTTATTCAATTTTGGGGTTGATTGATGTAGTTTATTCTAAGTATTATTTTGGCGGGAGCAGTTTTTAATTTGTTTATTACTTCATGTATTTATTTGGATTGGTTATCTTTACTTGTTTTTTTTTCTAATGGTTAATTTATCGGGATCGATTTATTTATTTATTTATTTATTTGGATGAATTTAGATTAATTTATCTTACTTTTTATTATTTATTTATTATACTGTATATTTTTATTTATTCTTTTCGGTTTTCAATTTTTAAGTAACGTAGTAATTTTTTTATCGTTATATAACAGTTATAGCTATGTTTTTCATCCGATTTTTGGTTTGATTTTTATACTCTAACTAATATTTTGGTCATCATGGTTTGTTAATTTGTTTATTATTTACTTTATTTACTTGGCTTTATTGATTTTGTTTTTTATTTATTTATTTTATTTCGTCTATTCTAACGGGTGTGATTTGGTAATTTGTTTGGGTTAATTTATTTTAGTTATTTTATTGTCATTTTGTTTATTTATTTTATTTTATTTTTTTCAGTTATCGATTTTTAAGTAATGTAGTAAAAATTTGTTTCCGTGTCTGCATTTTGTGATGAGCTCGGATCTTTTATTTAATAATGTATTTTGGTCTGGGAAGGTAATGATAGCTATTTTTTTCTCCAAGCAAAGTTTGCAAGTTTTTGATTGTAGGCTGATGATCTTTTCCTTATATTCCGAGATATTTTTGGTGTGATGTGTGTTTTGTTTTTAATTTCCCAGATATACTTAGAAAGCATTGTGCTGTTCGCATATTTACTATTTGTGAAAGATGTTTTGTGTACATAATTTCTTTGTTTCCAGGGTCCTTCAGTTACTCCCGTGTACACTTTTCTTCCTTATCTGGTGATTTTATCGTGGCTTGGTATATTACGTTGTTTTGTAAACAATTACCGTTTAAGTGACATTCGTTCTTTATTCTGCAGTTACACGTGGGTTTAATTTGTTCGTGTGGTTGTTGATAATTTTCCTGTTGTGCTTTTTTATAACAGCACTCGTGCTCTGACGATTGCGTCTAGCATGAAACAGACTGTCGCCTCTAAGTGTTGACTTCGATGTTCACTTATATATATATATATATATATATATATATATGTTGCATTTATTTTATCCCATTGAATAATTTAGACAATTTTTGTTTACTTATTTTCAATAGAATCCTCACATATTCAAGCACAAGTTTCTTAACATCCTTATTAAAGGAAGAGAGAAAATTACTATGTTGATACATATTCATTTATTCCAAGTACTTTCGTCGTTAGCACAGTTTCATCTTCTGAGTGTTGGTTTTTCTCAGACAAAAATTTTGGGGTTCATCTCAAAGTTAAATGTTTTACCTGTCAAGTGAAAAACGCTATGGTTATGTACTGTACCATTTAAATTCCACAATGTAAACCTCAGAAGAGGTAACTAAGTTATGAAATGTCCAGATGTTTTATTAGCATTTCTAACTATGAGTTGACTAAGCATCAGAGAGAATTACTTAACCTGAGACCCAGCTTCCATATATACCGTAAGTATAATGGTCTAATTAAAAAAAATGAAATTTAGTTGTTATATCAAAGTATCGAAAAACTTCAGGACGAACAACTGATCACAACAACACCAGCATTTCGGGATATACTCAAGCCTGAGTCATTTAAGAATAGACACGACAGAAATAAAAACTTTTCAAAAATATTAACAAAACCATTACGAATTGGCGCTACGGAACTACGAAATCACCGGCATATCATTGTCAAAACAAACATCTTTGCTGTTTTAAACAAATCGGATTAAATAAAAACTAGAACGAATACTTAATCACCATAGCGAATTTAAAAAGATTAACAGGAATCCAACTAACCAACTGAAATTAAAAATTAACAAACTTATCACAGCTAATAATGCCAAACAGAACAGTTTTAAACTTCCTAAAATAGTGGGCGATTATAATCCTGGTAACACAGACGGCACTATAAAAACACACAAATAAAACTAACCTCTCCGCCATATTATATTTCAAATTCTCACTCCTGTGTATCATAAACCAACTTATCACACTGTCTAATCTTGAAAATAA